TTCCTTTTTTTACCCCCAATGGTTATTTTCCACTTGTCCTTTCTCATTTTGTATATATGTGCTTTCTGACTTTTTTTATTAACTTAGTTAGTAGTTTATCTATTTTGATAATTTTCTTAAAAAAAAAACAGATTTTTAACTTATTAGACCTGCTTTTTTATACTATATTCTTCCTTAATTTCTGATTTTATCTTAATTATCTTCTTCCTGTGCGTTCTTTCGGCTCCCTTTGTTGTTCTTTTTATAGGTTTTTCTTTAGGAACTTAGTTCATGTTTTTATTGATAAAGGTGTTTCATAAGTTTTCCTCTATAACTGCTCTTCATGCATGTGATAGATTCTGAACTGTGATGTTTTCAGTGTCATTATTTTCTTTAATCCTGTAATTTCTGTTTGTATTTCACCCAGAAGTTATTTAATAAGAAACATTTAAATTTCTGGATGAATGGGCCTTTCTGCCTTTCTGTTTTTATTAGTGAATTCTAGTTTGATTGCATTGTGCTCAGAGAGTATTATTTGTGATCTTTCTACTTTATGTAATTTACTGATGTTTTGCTCATTACCTATTATATGACCAGTTTCTGTGAGTGTGCCAGGGGCCCTTGAGAAGGGCTGTTATCAGGGCTCCAGGTTCAATATGTGTCCACAGACTTCCCTTGTCAATTATGTTTTCAGGTCTTCGGTCTTACCCACTTTTCAGTCCACTGATCTGTCTTGTACTGAAAGTGGTCTGGTGTTATTAGTGCGTTCTATCTGTCTGTTCTCACATCTCTAATTTCTGTTTCATAAAGGTGGCTGCTGTGATATTTGGGGGGAAAATATTCATAAGGATTATGTCTGTGTTGTGGGTTGTGATTTTGGCACTAAAAATGTCTCTTTTTGTCACATTGAGTGCTTTCGACTTGAATTACACCTCATCTGATATCAGGATTTCTATCCCAGGTCTATTTTGCATTCATTTCCTACAGTATTATCGTCGTCCTTATGTGGCTTTTCACTAGCGCCCCTCATCTGTTTTCCTGCAGTCTTCTCAGTCTGTCCGTGTCCACCACAAAGCCTGTGATGGGGCAGGACTTGCAGCAGGTTTTTCTCCTACGACCCATAGTTATTTTGCAGCTTCTCTTCAAATAATGCCAAGGGTGTGGTTTGTGTAGAATTTTTATAGTTGTGAAGCTCTTCCATATGTTTTGGGGAAGAGTGTTTTGAGAGTTTGATTACTATATAGTCACCACTGTCATCAGCTAACCAGAAGTCCATCATTTCCAATTCATAAAAATGTCTTCATGGTATTATTTTAATGGCTATGTAATATTCTAATGGCTGAATATAGACATAGATTATACATATGTGTGAATATATATATTATAACTTGGTTAAACAACATTAAAATATTGGACTTGGTTTTTTTCATTTAGCTAATGCTGCAATTCCTAATTCAGGCTGCCCTTGTAAATTTAGTAGGTATTCAATAAATATTTGTTGGATGAATAAATAGAAGAATGAGTAGAAGATCGTGTAGAGTGAGATGGGTTAAGAAGCCAGTCTAAACTTGGGATAGGGTTCCAAGAGATAGGATGAGGCGAGACGGCCCAGCCAGGGTGGTCCAAAGTGGAAAAAGCTTCAAGTGCGAGTTTGAGCCGTGGCCTTAAGGGATTTTTGGTCATGGAGAGGATAACGAATGGGAAACAAGATGGCAGAACTGCAACAAAGCAGACCAGGAATAAGAAAAGGGGGTTCACCTAAGGTGATCACGGAGAACACCTTGGAGCCCTTGCCTGGTCATGGTAGTCCATGAACTCACAGTACATGGATGTGACAGACTGGCCTAAAGAACCGAGCCATGCTATACTGGTGACAAAAATAAACCAGGTCAAGTTAAAAATTTTAAAGTTTACTATGCATACAAAAAAATAGTTCTTGAACCAGGAGACCTCAAACCAGAACTGATAAGAGGACGTACAGAGCGTAGAGTTACACGAGGGATTGTAAAGCAAAAGTAAGGACGTCGTTTAACCTCTGCAATGATTGGTTATTCCTGTGGGGGTTTCCAGACAGCAGAGGATCGGGTAAAAGTGATCATCTCACGCCATTTTTGGAAGGTGACTTAAGTTTTGTTTATGATTATTGAGGCATTTACAAGAAATAACCCAAGTTTCACTTGCATGGCCTAACTGCCTTTGTCCGCTCAGGGAATTCTCAAGTCTGGTCTCCATTTTATTTCATTTTAACATAGATAAGGGTCATTTGCTCCCAGTCCAGTACTTTCTCTGTGATACCATATTTGCAGCAGCAGAATATGTTTCCTTTTTTAAAAAAAGAACTTTTTGATATTTATTTTTAAATGATACTATCTTAAATTAGAGATATCATGAGGGAAAAAAAAGATTGCTAATGAGACATATTGTATGAAGAATTTGATGGTATTTTCATTAGAAAAACCTTTAAAGGCCAATTTCAAAAACTTAATTAGATCATACAACCTTGACTTTTCCTTCCTTGTGCCAAAGTCTTCCATTAAAAATGGTATTGTACCAGATTGGTCTTTTCTTATCAACAACAGAGAATTTGAATTTTATTTCTTAAAGATCTCTGCTGGAAAAAATGTTACTTGCTCAGCTCTAATCAGTAACCAATGAGGTTATAAAAACCAGGAGAATGCTAACAAAAGTTAAAAGATTGATTACAAACTCAGTAATTATGGGCTTATCATTTGGAGAACAGTACAATTTCCTCTGAAGTGCAAACATATTTAAACAGTCAATGTCTACATTTTTTTAATGAAGTGGACATGGAAGGGTATTCACCTCCGTGCCTTTGCTCAGGTGCTTCCCTCTACCTGGAGTGCCCCATTGTCCCTTCAGCAGGGAGCATGGACTCTTCTTCAAGGTCAGCTCAGACATTGTCTTCCCCTGGATGCCATTTCCAAGCCCGGGGAATGGACCAGGAATTCCTTGTCAGGACTCTGTCGTGTTCATCACATAGCACTTATCCAATTGTCCTGAAACTAGGCTTAAATTCTTTTCTCTTTAGTGGACCGTGCACTTCTATATGTCGTGAACTACGTCTCACTCACTTATATATCCTCAATTCTTAGCACAGTATGTATTCTTGTACATAAATGGCATGCAATAAATTTGTGTTGAATGGAACAGACTCATTTTCTTTGAATAGAGGCTTATATGGCTTTGCTACTCACACATAATGTGCAGCTGAACTCATTTGTTGACTCTTTCATCAATGCATATTAATAGTTACAGGAAAATATTCATCATTTAGTGTAACCTCTTACCCTTAACAAAGCCTCCTGGAATTGTTATATGAATCTCCAGTGAACAAAACAATGAAATCTTACTAGATAAATTATTCCAGGATTTTTCCTCAATTTTAAAGTCAGATAACTTCATATTCATCATTAAATGTTTATATAATAAATATGTATCAGTGTCCCAGAAGAGGTAAACAGTGACCCTGAGTCTCAGAGAAGGCAAAAGACATACAATTATCAAAAATAAAGTAAGGTTTTCTTAAGAAAAAGGTGATATAACATAGAGGAAAAAGTGGCTTTCTAACTGCCACTTTCATCAAAAGTATTTATTTGTTTACTTAAATGAAGAATTATTGGAGGCTATTGAAGTACAAATTAATAAAATTATATAAGAATATATTGGTAAACATGTGCAAAACTGATTAATACATTGATTGAAAAGCTTTATTTAATTTCTACCAGGCACCTAACAGTTTTGATGTCTACTTTGAGGAACACAGGGACACACACACACAAATTTTAAGATATGACCCATTTTCTTAATAACCTTACTTTTATAGACAAGAACATAAAGCTAACATAAAATAACAGGGGAACTCTTGTAGTTTCTTGAGCAAATGATGAAAGCTGAGTTAGAGATTAATCCATGAAGCGGCCTGGGTTAGCAGGATTGGAAGAGAAATTACGAAAGACACAGGATGAATGCTGGGATCTGTTTATAGCTGAGTGTGTGGGTGAGGGTAAGAAACACAACACACGCCCCGGTGCCTGGGGGCGGTGTGCCCAGCACCCAGCACACAGTGAGCACACAGCACACAGTGAGCACGCAGCAGTCATTTGCTGAGTAGTTGACGAGTTGGAAGGCAGTGGGTCCAGAGCTCAGGTGAAGGGATTAAGCTTGGAGGTGAAAGTAAAATAGAAAGAAAGAAGGTGTGAAGAAGACAAAAATTTCTCAGGAGGAAGGGAAGGGCAAGACCGTGAGGTGTTCTTCCAGGGAGCGTCTGTTCCTCATGGAGAAAGAGCTGAGGGCCTGTTGAGAACAAGGCAGAGAGAAATGCAGGGTAGGATTCACCTGCTGGGTTGACTCTGACTGCTGACGTGAGCCATTTGTAAGATTGTCTTTCACAAATCTTACATCTCAGGAGGCAAAATCCTTAGTTGGTTAATAACCAAAAGAATACAAATTTAATTATGAGTAGAAGAATTACATTATTTTTGGTAAGTTTTAAAAATCTGAAAAAATAAACTTTTAAATAATTTATCCATATATATATTTGATATAGGTTAGCATATGTTTGACATTAATTTTAATAATATGATAGATTTAGGCTTAAAACTTGCAAAGTTTAATCATGGTATCAAAAATCTATTGGGAAGGGGCCAGCCCGGTGGCGCACTGCTACAGTGCGCCACTTGGGAGCGTGGTGGCGCTCCCGCCGAGGGTTCGGATCCCACATACAGACCGGTTCCCGCTCACTGGCTGAGCGAGGTGTGGGAGCAACACCAAGGGTTGTGATCCCGTTGCCGGTCCCGGTCCGGTACGGGCGCGACACTGAGGGTTGCGATCCGTTGCCGGACATGAAAAAAGACAAAAAGGGGGGAAAAAAAAAATCTATTGGGAAATCCTAAATGTTTGGTTATTTGGTATTGCTAGGTGATGTGTGTGTGTAAAAATAGATATTTCAACTCTGCTTATCATAAACACTTTATAATAAATTGTTTTCATTAATCCTTCAGGTCCCAAAATGGTAGAAGTCCAGAGTCAACAATTTCAGATCAACTCCAAAGATGGCAAGCCGCTCTTTACTGTGGATGAAAAGGAAGTTGTGGTTGGCACAGATAAACTTCGAGTAACTGGTATGTGGTAACTCTTGAGAAAAACGCTATCCCATGGAGAGCACTTCTGCAAAAGCAAATTGTACTTTTGGCGAGGATGCTCTGGAATCATCCAGGCAGATGAGAAAAAGTTTGAATTTGTCAACTTTTCTTCATGGCATTTCTTTTGAAATTCTTTGTTGCCCTCCTGCAAGAATGAAATCCTCCTCACAGATCTTTGCCTGTTCTTTTCTCCCACTATGTCTCTTTATCTTTTATCTTTTCTTTCCATCAAACATACAAGTACCTGTTTTTCAAGTTTGTTATATTCCCATTATATCAGGTACTTGGATTCCCTCTATTTCTACAAAAAACTTTGCTCTTGTTCACTAATGGCTGAACAGGGTTCTCATAGGACTCATTTTTAGG